GAATCTGGTGTTATATAAATACAAATTACATAAAGATTATAACTCGGCAATTCTATACCGCAACATTCAAAACAATATGTTGTCGCAAAATCATTAATTACCGACAACGGAGTAAAATATATACCTTTTTTTACTAGTATACATGTCCCACCCCGTTTTTTATCCTGTCTTGAGAAATTAGCAGCTAAACTGTAATTTTCTAACTGTAGGTTGCCTTCATGACCAGATTTTAAAAAGGTTTCGCTAAAGCAAATAAAGTCTATATCTCCAATATGCTTCCTCAAATCGGTCATTACTATTTCAAAATGCTCTATTTTGTTTAATATGCCTGCTATATTCTGGTGAAATAATATAAATTGTTGTATGTTATCAAGAGATGTCTTACTAGATGGACCGAAAAAAACTGTTTTGTTTGACACTGTCAGTGGTTATTAATGTTGGCGAATTGAATTCAGTTTCTAAATCAACAAGAATACGCTTAAAGATACTTGCAAATATACATTTTATACCTAATCTGTTAATTTTACCTGTTTTATTCGACAACATTTCATAAGTTAAGTCGTAGTTAGTATCAAAGAAATATGCATATTTATAATTTTCAATGTCCATATAAAGTAAATTATTAAATATTTCTACTCGGTAATTATATATAGGGGCTCCTAGTACATATGTGGGGATACATAAAATTATATTTGTGTTACTTATTTCTATTAGGGTTTCTCTAATTAATCTGACTAATTCAATTGGATCCACATTCTTTTTAAAGTCACTTTCACCAATCATAATTATACAATAATCTTCTTCATCAAAATTATAGATCTTGTTCTTGATGTCTGACATGAGTTCTTTCAAACTGCTGTTACGTTTCATAAATTGACAGTAGTTAAATTTTTCTTCAAATGTGCGCTCTATAATACTTAGTGTGCCGTTGTAGTTGCAGCCATTTAGAATACATAATTTTCTCTTCTTTATACTATCCTTTTCCTTCTCTAATTTGCTTTCTTGTTTCTTAACGGGATATTTTGTTATGGTTATTTCACTTTGAATAGTAGAATTCTTAATTGACTTCTCACTTGACTGTGAATGTGTACCTTGTTTTTGTTTTCTTTTACTAGGTGTAGTATTTTGTATTTGTTTATTAAGTGATTGGTTGCAGGTGTTATTTGTTAAGGAATAATTTTTTTTCATTAACTCTTCATTGATATGTTTAAGATTACTGTTTTCTGTGGAAAGGCACTCATTCTCCTGACGAGCATTATTTGATTCGGACAAAAGTTCTTTAATTCGTCCTTTCAAGTTAGACACTAATTTATCGCTATTTTCGATCAATACGTTTTTATTCGGTAAACTACTTGTGCTGTCATCCAGTGTTTCGTTTAGTTCATAACTGTTATCATATTTTGTATTTGAATCCGACAGAGTCCGTGCACGGCGGAAAGTAATATTTTGCAGAAAATCCATTTTGTCGAGTTTATAATTTATAGTTTTATTATATGTTTGTTTTGTTTATAATATTTAGAATTTGAATTGAAACTTAAAACATTCACAAAAAGTCAAATGTACAGGTTAGATTTGAACCTGGTCTCAGTGGCCCAACTTGAACGCGTGGCCAATACGCCACCGTGACGTGTTACTAGGTCGCTCAAAAAAAAATTAAAATTTAATCTTAAGCTCAAATAAAAATTTAGTTTGATTTTTAAACTTTACAACAAAAATAACAAGTGTATTTTATTTTGCTTCATCAAATTTAGAAATCTCGATGGAGATAATAGCATTATTTACAAACCTTTGTGTTTTGTATATGCTATTTTACTTATGGTTATGTATTCAACTTTGAAATGATAAATAAATTTAAAAAAAATAACTTGAACACATCAAGCGCGAGACGGCTCGAATAGTCGACGACCGAGTTCTTTCTGATTGATTTCTGCGAAGAGATTTTGCATCTTTTTGTATATTCTATCGTATCTGCCACGGGAATACACAGACGAATTATTCGCATTAATTCCAGCCGATAAATTTAACCATCGTACATCGCGATAATACTCGCTATACCATCTATATGAACGATTGGCGGTCCACCACTGTGCGATTTACTAGAAGTTTTCTTCCTCGCACAACTCCCTTGTGGAATCGAATATCATCAACACGAAAACAGCCTTTTCTTTTTTAAAAGGCCGGCAACGCATCTGCAATTCCCCTGGTAGTCACTTACCTTCAGGCGAGCCGCATGCTCGTTTGCCCCTCCGCTTTAAAAAGTGGATGACTACCTCGTTGGTATAGTGGTTGTAGTAATGCGACTGCTGATCATGAGGTCCTGGGTTCGAATCTCAGGTCAAGCCGAAAAAATCGGTTATTGAGTTTTTCCGTCAAGAAATTCTTAGTAGTTGCCCGGAGTCAGGAAGTTGGCGGTGTCTCACCCCCGTGCCTCGGAAAGCACGTAAAGCCGTTGGTCCTGCGCGTGACCTCTCTCCGGTCGTGTCGGTTTACCGTCCCATCAGATTATGAAAGTGAGGGAATAGAGAGTGCACCTATTGGCCACTAAAATCCCATCCTGAGCCGATGGCTCTACTTCGTTAAGGCAGTGACTGAAATTCGGTCTAAAAGACATTATTATAAAAAGTGGATACAAAAATATCCACATTACTGCTTTTAACCTTTCCTATGTCTTAGCAGCAACATGTGAAATTTATTTAATTCTGTATAATTCTTTGAAGTCGACTTTTACTATTTTAAGATTAAGTTTACGAATAAAAAAAATCGAGTCAAAATTTCACAAAGCAAAATTCGCTTCATTCTCCATTAAAACAAAAACTAGAGTAAAAGTGTTGTCATTTCTAAATAAGAAAAGAAACTCGGAGAGTAAAACGGTCACGCGCAAAACTAACGATTAAAAAAAGTAAACAAGAAATCCGAGCACACGCGAACTTCGGCTTACTCTAATTTGATAACGCAAACTGACTTTATCAAAGACTGATTTTGAGACACATTTTATATTGCAGCGCAGTTAATCTCCCCTATATTATGGTGGTAGCTCAGGGAATAAAAGCTTTCCTTACACACTTTTCACTAAAGCAGTGCGTTAGTTGCGAATGTGAGTACCAAAACAAACCATTATTGGTTTAATGGTACAAATCAAGCAAATATTATGTAAGAATACCTTTGATAAATAAATTAAAAAAAAACTTACACTGGTTTTACGTCAACAATTTGCATTTAAACGGTAATAAAACGAAATGTATTAAATTTGGTGAATTTAATGTTAAACAGGTGAGCCTTATTGAATCCACTGTTTTTCTCTGAATTACCGTTGACGCGGAGCTTCAATGTGGACCTCATTATCTAAACTAGTTCTGTAGTAACTTAGTTCTGCAACATACTCGTATGCTGTAAAAAAGGATAAGACGCCTTACATGTGTTGGAACAGCTACATTAGCTTATTTTAGTTATTTCCATCGTATAATATCTTAAGGAATATGGTATGCTATGGGGTAATGCGACTGACATTGACAATACCTTTGTTTTGCAGAAGAGAGCCATAAGAGCAACTATGGTCCGAAGGAATTCCTCTTAGAGAATTTTTTAAAGAACTAAATATTTTAACTTTGGCCTCACACTATATTTTGAAAATTTTAATGTAAGCATACAAAGACAAAAATAGTTTTATTAAAAACTAGCTTTTTACCCGCGGCTTCGCTTGCGTGGGCTTCCGTTGAGAAACATCATTAATACTGCTCCATATCAAAATCTTTAAAGTTGGATGCCTTGTAGAGTCGCCTAGATTCACGTTTGTTAGTCAAGTGATATCTTTTAAATTCTCAGAAATTATTAGACGTAGATTTTTTTAGAATTGCATTAATATCATACGTCTAGATACCTCTGTCACTTTTTATATCGGTCATGACCTCCGAGGTATCTTTAATAAGGGTAAATTATATTTGATTGAAAGTTACATTATTTACTTTTTACTCTTTACATTTATTCGTAAATTAAGGTAATTTAATTTTGACCAAATAATATCGAATTTCTTTGTCTTCTATTAAAGTACGGCAGAGTGTTTATTTGCGATATTCGTTTTACAATATCATTGGCCTATTGAATATTGATTGCCACTATAAAATAGTTGCTTATATTTTTACTAATCCATCAAATAGAGATAAAAACATACATCGGATAACTTAATACCAAACGAAGTTAATGAAATTATTGCTATGCCGATATACACTCAATAAGTATAGTTAGTAAAAAGTTTTTCTTTTAATCACAGTTTTGTATATACAGTACCCAGTATAACAGTTTAGTTAGTTATTTTGCTAAATGTGGCAATTACGGTAAATTGTCCCGGTAATGGCTGGATATTTTAAGTTTTTGATCCTGCAAGAATAAATATTCAATAGTATTATATTTAATCTTATCAGTTAGTTATTATTAGTTTATTTAGCAGTAAAGTGGTGGCGCTAATTTCAGATAAAAACTATGAAAGCCCACTTCAAATATCGCAATCATATCATAATAGCCTGTTATTACTGACCATCTCTCTATAGTATAAAACAAAGGCTCGCTAAGACTCACCGATTTTTTGTGTGTATTTAAGTGGGTCCCCGTATGGTTTAGATTTACAAATTGGTTTAGATTTTATATACGGTAGGTGGTGCTGTTACCGATATCCAGGAATCACCCGTGCTAAGCTCTGGTGAATCTTTAGTATCGTATAAATGTCAACTTTTGAATCTACGAAGTCAATTCTCGTTTCCACCATCTAGTAATATAAGCGACAGTAGATTGATATGCGGCTGGGGTGATCCTTGGGCTACCTCAAAGCCGCGAACATTTATATATATTATTTAAATGTTCGCGATAAGGCATAGAGTTATGTGGATTCTGTTAAAAATTCTGTTAAAAAAGTGCGCTATCGGCGCCGCTAGCGATGAATAGTAAAACTATTTTACGATATTAGAATATTATGAATTATTTATTTCTTTTATATTAATTATTTCCAGGATTAACGAGCTTATTCCTGCCGCACCTTATAACAAGCCAGCAATACCAAGTCCTCCAACCGGGTAGGTACGCATCAATATTTTTACTGTCACCATCAATTATATTAGTAATTTATTAGATTATTTGACTAAAATAACATTATTATTTACAGTCGCCTTCATACAGAGAACGGGTGAAGGGCCCAACATGCATTTGCTACCAAGAAACCCACACTGGCATCAAAACTCAGTACTCAGAAAAAGATCCCCTGACTCTATGCAAAGACCGTATTATGGGCCTTCGCAATACAGACAACTATCTTACTATACTCAAGAACAGCTATATGATCAAAATCCCGCACAAAGCTTACAGAACTATCCCCACGATACAAAATCATCAGTGGACTTAGTCAATTTACAGACCAGAGACCAGGTACCAAACGATGGAAGATTACTTTCAGATTCAGCTTTTACAAGAATATCAGAAACACTCGGAGCAATCAACACTGTTGGACATTACCTCGTTGATATCGTAAACGAAAACGAAAGAAACGAATCTAACCCAAACCTTCAACAACTACCCCAAGCTCTATACACATTAAGCAAAAACGTGCTTGGAAGAAATGTAACAGATAAAATCGCCCCTATAGTCAAAAAAGCACTACCTAAAGTCCTACCCGATGCTCCAATAACAAAAATAGCGACAGCAGATTTAAGTTATGAAAATGATCCTAAATCTTGTACAACGCCAGAAGGTGAAGACGGTATTTGCGAAGATCTAAGCAATTGTCCGCAGTTGTTGTTAAACTTAATAAATCTTCGGGAATCTCTTTGTTTTAAAGACCTCTTCGTACCTGGTGTATGTTGCCCACGGGACGCAGTAATCCCGTCAACTCCCGCTACAGAGACACCGGTTATAACTACAACACTTAAACCAACATATTTAGTGCCAGTTACAACACAAAGGCCCGCTCCTCGGCCTACGACTAAAAAGCCATCCGCAATACTCGTACTCACAACTAAAAGACCGAAACCTCAACCAACGCAAAGTACAGTGAGGACTACAACATCATTGGCAACTGTGACCACTCCAAGACCAATTTCCACCACCAGTTTCTACACCGTCCCACCAATCATTGGGAATTACTCGAATATTGTTGATATCAATGGTAAGCATCCACATTTTTTAACAAACATTTCTATAAATGTTTAATTTTTTTTATAGAATAAGGGTGAAAACACAGTGACACAGTCCACCTGATGTGAAATGATTGCTATGGCCCATAGGCAACTACATTTGTCCTCGATATCGAATCGAAACGCAGATTCATTGTCACCCCTCACAGCCTCGTTTCCAGTAAAAGAGGGTCTCCGGATCTCTACACTCACCATACAAAACACAGCAGTATTAAGCTCCTATTTTACGCTGGTATTCTGTGAGAGCGTGGTCCTTCCTTGGTCGAGCCAACCAACGCAGTTTATGTTATAACCCTGGCAATACAGCCGTACGTTGGCACGGCTTAAATAATTTATCACCCCATTTCCTGATGGGTGTCGTAAAAGGCAACTATGGCAAAACCGAGAAAAATATCATAGCTTCCGATACGTGGCGTTTTAACCACGTTTACACGGAACGTAAAACATCTAAACATCTGGCGACGGAGAGCAGCGTCAAAGATAAAGACTTCTGGGACTGTCAATTCCTGCCTAGGACAACATGGATTTTTGTCAGCTGGTGAATATGAACATACATAACTGTTTTGTGTCTGACTCTAACCAGCGGCCTTTTTGCCTGGGGCAAATTTCTACAATTTTTAATAAATTTGAAAAAAGAAGTAGTGAGAAAAAAAAGGATTCTCTTATAACGATAACATTTATGGCATACAATCTGTGTGATTGTTTAAAAATGACCATAATATATGTCAGTACAATTTGGTCTCAACTCAGCATATGCTGGTTGCAAGCAACCTACGCTGGTCTTCCGTTGGAATCGTCTTGTAATAACACGATCCGGATCTACATCAGCCTATAAAAAAATTACTTGCTTATTAGATAAAGAAAGAACGGAAAAAGGAAAAAACATAATATAAGTATTTTCCCTTTTTGGATGCATTTCGGAAATTATACCTCTGCCCTCCAATATCAGATAATCAAAAGCGCAGTCAGTCTGGAACCTTTCGTTATAGATTTACTACGTATTCGAACCAAACAGTTTGCTTCATGGTTCGTCATGCGTAGAGCTAAGGAGTGGAATAAGTTGTCAGCATCTATCTTTCCTTCCGATTACAATGTAGATTTCTTATATGGCAAGAGTGAATAGGCTTTTGTTAAATTAGTGCGCTTCACCATTTTAGACTGCATAACCGCTTACTATCAGTTGGGATGGTAGCCAAGCGCTGACTTCGAATAATAATAGAAGTACAATAGGTACTGAAAATTTAAGAAAAAATCAATAACTAGTAAATTTGTATATTTTTTTAATGAACAAGGGTGATAAACGAGCACACAGTCCACGTGATGGTAAGTGGAGGCTGTGCCCCATAAACATCTACATTTATCCTCGATTAAGAATCAAAACGCAGATGCGTTGTCACCCCTGAGGACTAAGATGGAATGCCTCGTTTCTAGTAAAAAGGGGTCTCCGGATCTCTACACTCACCATACGAAACACAGCAGTATTAAGCTGCTATTTTACGCTGGTATTCTGTGAGAGCGTGGTCCTTCCCCGGTCGAGCCGACCCACATACAACCATAATATAGCTACAGCGTGGCTCTACCACGTATAATAAATATATTACTTATACTAATTATATAACCACGTATAATAATTATATAGCACAAAATAAAAATACAGGTAAATAGATAGATTCTGGGAGCATGTTTTATTCCACTTTTAACAATATTAAACAACGCAACAAAAAACAATAAAGCCAGAGTGGTATACGAATACGAACAGTTTTGCTTTAATATCAAATTAAGTATCAGAAATATGCCACGAAAGAACATAATAAATAAATAATTTTGGTTTAAACTTTTTCAGATTGTGGACAAAGAGAAGACGAAGGTGGTCGTATTGTAGGGGGCACAGAAGCCAAATCAGGCGCTTGGCCTTGGATGGCAGCAATTTACCTGCACGGTAGTAAGCGACGGGAGTTCTGGTGTGGAGGCACGCTGGTGAACAGAAGACATGTACTAACTGCTGCACACTGCACGAGAGACTCCAAGCAGAGACCGTACGTACAAATTATTATATCTTTAGAGTATATATAAGCAAGCTATGCTTAGGTGTACTTACTCTGAGGTCCCATTTTTTATAGGATAGGGTGACCAACGAGCACACAGTCCACCTGATGGTAAGTGGTTGCTGTGGCCCATAGACATCTACATCTATCCTCCACTACGAATCAAAATGAGGATGCGTTGTCACCCGTTAGGACTAAGATGGAATGCCTCGTTTCCAGTAAAAAGGGTTCTCCAGTTCTCTACACTCACCATACGAAACACAGCAGCATTAAGCTACTATATTACGTTAGTATTCTGTCAGAGCGTGGTCCCTCCCCGGTCGAGCCGACCTATTCGTGCTACAACTATACTACTAATATAACTGCACCATGGCTTTACCACGTATAGATATTTGTGTTTAAAGTAACGCAACAACAACAATTACAAAGAGACTCGTGGGAAATCACCACACACAGAAAACTCCACGAAGAAATCAACATAAGTAATTATTTGTGTAGTATAAATTATAATTAATTGAACTATCAAAATCGAATTTATTAAAATTCTTAGAATATTAAAATTTAATAAATTAATATCTACAAACCTTCGTTAAAAAATGTAAGACACTTATAATGTCCTCCTCCACACTACTACATAACTACAGCGGCCTGTCTTATCGCAGACAAGCGACTAACGAGAGAGTATGCGCAGGCACAAATGCACTCTCAGTTCTCTCACTTTCATAGTCTGATGAGACGGCAATCCAACACGACCGAAGAGAGATCAGGTGCTGGATTAACGGCTTCACGTCCTTTTCGTGGGCCGGGTGTGTTACACTGCCAACTCATGGGGAGTGATATTTAGAATTTTCAGACAGAAAACGCCCAATAACTGATTTTCGTCCGACCCAGGATTCGAACTCTATGAGCAGCAGTCGCGTTTACAACCACTAGACCAAGGACCGTCAATATTTTTTCTTTCATTTTTAAAGACACTCATGATAAAGCTATTAAATAACGATTTGCAGTAGCCAAAAGCAAAAAGTGACGCCGGGAGGCCTCACTTTAAAGATTCTTTTAAGAGGGTACTTTGGAAAAAACTAATTTTACGGATTTCATCGCGTTCATTTTTAACTATTTTAACCATGAGTGCTCGAAAGTGTCCTAAAAGTCGGTAATTAAATAATTAAAATTTAAGGCGATAAAATCGGTAAAATTAGTTATATTCCATGTGTTTCGTGTAAATATAAGAAATCACGTCATAAATATGAATATGAATTTTATGTTTATTTATTATGTTTTGTTCATCTTTAATCTTATGCTGCTAATAAATAAAAACGCGATTTAAAAACATTTTCTCGATAAAATTATTTATTTAAAAGCCTATAATATATAATATCGTACTATGTTTCAATCAATTGCAGTATATATTATAGAAAAAAGATATAGTACGAAAAATACTATATTTTATCCCTAATTCAACTGTCTCCCTTTTTATATTTAGTGTGATTGTAAATCTGGAACAAGTAAGTTTTACGGAAATAATTTTTACATCATGAGTGTAAAATGGAAAGAAGAATAAAATAGAGAATGTATTAATATAATTAAATTGAATTGTTAATTTATTTTTATTTTATATAAACCTAAATTGATTGAAATCGGATTCCTACATTTTTTTAAAGGTAATACAAATTATTTATGTTATATTATCATTGATGGCCACAGCGAAGAGCAATAACAAATATAATATGGAAAAATACATAAAGATTAAAATAAATGTGTACTTTTTTCCTGAATTTCTCAAAAGTACTATATTTTTGCATCGTAGGGAAAATACTATATTTGTTCAAGAAAAAATGTCAACGCCACTTTTGATCGACAATTCTATAGTAATTATTTGCGAAACTTTATTTTGATATAAATAATAGAATTTTTTAAAATCGTATTGAACTCGTTTTTGATTGATAACGTAGTTTATTTTAAAACATATTTTGCCATTTCCTTCTTTCTACGCGCTCTGTATGTATGTACGAGTACTCGTAGCTGTTACGTCGAATTGTTTCCCATGTGTTGTTACGGCAGTAGACCACGCCCAGCCACTCCTATCAAAGTAGCCCCTTAAAATTGATCACCGTAACTTGAAAATAGTTACGGTGAAACGAACGGAAATTTGTAAGAATATCCACTCCTTCATATCATGGGTGTAGTAATAGCCGACGGAGGAAACAAACTCAGAGATGGACAGAAGTATCTTCTTAATAACAACAAGATAATAAAAAACTACGGTATAATAACAGGATAGGGTGACAAACTAGCACACAGTCCATGATGATGTCCACTGATGGTAAGTGGTTGCTGTGGCCCATAGACATCTACGTCTATCCTCGATTACAAATCAAAATGCAGATGCGTTGTCACCCGTGAGGACTAAGATGGAATGCCTCGTTTCCAGTAAAAAGAGCCTCCGGTTCTCTATACTCACCATACGAAACATAGCACCATTAAGCTGGTATTCTGTGAGAGCGTGGTCCTTCCCCGGTCGAGCCAACCCATTCGTGCTACAACTATACTACTAATATAACTGCACCATTGCTCTACCACGTATAAAATTAATTAAGGCACATATCGCCAATATAAGACTTACGTTCAGCTGTTGACTTCCATAGGCTGTGATGAATGAATGAAATTACTTAACCAGCTTATTTTTTTAGTGTTAACCAAGTTCTTTATAATTTCTAAAGAATTATTAAAATCTATTAAATAATTAAATTGGTCTTATATTTAACTATATCTTACACCCTGGCCACACACTCGTCGAGTGGCATGGGAAGTAGCAAGGAAAGGAGGCAGGGACGTGGTGTGACCACAATACTCGTCATGCCGCACATCATTCTCCTCGTCATGTCCATCGCTCCCTGTTTTGTCGATTTTTTGAGGCGCGATTCAAAAGAGTGGCAATATGAGCGCGAGTGACTGGCCACACACTCGCGCAGACTCGGTCCGAATCAAGCGTTCGTTACGGAAGCATGTCACGTGTCATTTAAAAATCATAAGTATAGTCCGTTCGCGTTAAGAAAATAGTGAGTCATCAGTGCAACTAGAGGGTAAAGGTGTATTCACAGTGGAGTAAAAATTATTTTTTTTTTCAAACATTTAATTAAGTTTAATGGAAACAATTTTTTTTTAAATTACTTAAATCACTAATCAGTATCACTATATTCTCCAGTTACATTAATTATGAAAGAATTTTGTTCTGCAAGTTCCATGATGTCATCCAAATTCCACATGGTATTTTCTTCGCGTGTCACGTGGTCGCAGCACTTCTTCCAACGATTAGCGTCTATTAATGCTATTGCGTCATCTAATAATTTTTTATGTCATTCCTTTTGAACGTGAAGTTATTGGCACCAACATAATTTTTATTGGGGCCCAAACCAATTCAATTGTATTAAGTTTGCAATGGTAAGGCGGTAGGCGAAGAATTGTAATGCCATTACTTTTGGCAGTCTCATCTATTAAATATTTATCATATTGTGGGGTGATTTCGGCAACGGCAAATTTCGAACAATGTGCAATACAATTAACCTTTTACCTTTTCCTGTCGGAGCTTTTGGACCGACTGATAAGCCATTTAGAAAGGCTTGTCTTTTTATTTTTTACCGTTGTATCCAACCATGCTTTTGTCTTTACGTGTCCGGCGTTTACCCACGTTTCGTCACGATAGTAAACGGTTTTATTAGTGTCTCTGCATAAGAATACTTTTTTATATATATTATTTGCCTCAGATATTTACGCCTCCATTAATCAATATCTTCTCTTTCGACTAACAATGTTCTGCTATCCTGTTTATTGAAATCGAAACCAAGCTCGTGCATTATTTTATTAAGTGTGGTACATTTGAAAACAGGAATATCTTCGTCAGCTTCGCAAAGTGTCATAATTTTGTCCAGTGTCGGGTACTCGTTATTTAAATATATTGAGTGAACTTTTCTCCTTATTGCACATTTGTCTAGTTCATCTAATTTATCGACCGTCGATAGTCGAGCTCTTTTTTTCACGGGTGATTTTAATGTGTTAGTATCCTTTTGTTCTTTAATAATTTTATAAACAGGATTTCGGACACACCACATGCACTTGCTGTTTTTATTACTGTGCTCTCCACAGTCGCATTTAAATCACACAGTTTAAAGTACTTATAAACATTGTAAATTACACGTCTCTCTCCGCTATGGATTATTGATCCACTTTTATTCTTTCGAATGGGTGAGGTATTCGTTTTCAAAAATTTAATGTTGAACGAGTAACGCGCAAAATACACAACCGTTTTGTTCGAAGGCCTAACTTCAACTGGTCACTGTGAACTCGACTTTCTAATTTCTTGCATTTTAATTGGCTGGGGGGGCGTGGCCAGGCCGGCGGACAACGATGACTCACTATTTTCTTAACGCGAACGGACTATAGTGAACCTATTATCATATTTAGCCATTTATTTACATTAATAAATAATATACAGAAAAAAAGCTATTTAGATGACGACAACGTATATTTCTTTTTATGACATTGATAGAATTTGCTATAATAAATATGCATAGCTCGCACGCTGCAATAGTTTCAATGGTATTTTGATAGAAACGCGAGCGACCTAGTGCGGTGCGTCGCGATTAATTGCGCGAGTAGAGCAGTGTGTGGACAGACAGAGGAACACCGCGGCAAAGCGAGGAGCAGAGCAATGAGCAGCGCGAGGAGCATAGTGTGGCTAACCCATTACATCATGAGTGACAACTCATAAGTGGGAATAAAATACGTACTTGTCACTTCTCACTTGCCACTCGCACTTGTCACTTCTCAAAATGTAAACCGGGCCTTAGTTGGTGGTGTGATACGTAGGTTCAATCTGCTCACACTGTCAATTTCCTACTCAGTGTTTCCAATTTACTTTGTCTTTTTTATAAAACAATTATTCTAAATGAGAAATAAATACGCAGGTCTCGTTTATTTGCATTAATTTTACGTAGCAAATTTCTAGATTTCCAGCTCGACAGTTCAGCGTGCGCTTGGGAGACGTGGATCTGGGACGCGACGACGAACCCTCTCGACCGGTCACCCTGCGAGTGACGGCGGTCAGGGCTCACGAGCAGTTCTCCAGGGTCGGCTTCTATAACGACATCGCCATACTGGTTTTAGCTGGTGAGTTCTGTCTCTTATTGTCTTCCCAGCATAAAAGGTGTCTCAGCAAAGAATCTGAATTCGAGTTTTAGCTGTCACCGAACGGATACTGTTATATTGTATATTTGTGTGTGAAATTGTTAGTTTATTGTTTTAATTGTTATGTGTGAGTTTCGTAATGACAGACAATGGCTTCTCACCTCCGGTCCGACGGTGACCTGTTTTGCTCTATGCTTTCCAGTTACAAAAAGACAAATACCTCAATGGGCATTGTTGAAAATCAACGCTACCTAACAGTGCAATAGCATTATGTTGAGTCGGTATCCTTTTTAGCATCACGTCACTCACGCAATCAGATTATTTAATATCCGTTTTCTCTTATTTATTTTTACTTTGGTGTTTTTATATACCATTTTATTTTCTATATTAAAACTATATAAGTGTAAGTTGCTGAACAAATGCATGTCTATTGTCTAATAACAAGCATTAATATTCTTTCTATTTCTCCTAGAGATAACCATCAACAAATGCTATGCAGGTATAGCTCATCCCTTGCTAACCAGTAATTATCTTAAACATTAACCCAAAATTGAACATTCTTATTCTAAATTATAATATTGCACCATAAATCATAAAACAACTGTTAATCAATATTTCAGCAAGTAATAACTGATAATAATTGTTTATACACATTTTATTAAGTACATTAATGTTATGTTCACCGAAAGCTAACGTGTTTACGGCATCAGTTGTTATTATTTTTCATTTATTTATTCTTATTAAATTATCTAATAAATCCAACAGTAACTATTAAAGTAATTAGTCTGCACTTAATTATTCGATAGGCTAGTGTATAAAACCCGAAGCAGATAACGTTATACAAACTTAATTTAAATCGTTAGTACTAACAGTCTTGTTTTGTGGGTAGGTAATAAAATAAAATATATCAACTACCTTACAAACCTACTCTTTTTATTATCTATAATAATCTAACACATGCGAGTACCAGGCTAGGCTCTGGTATCCCATAGTCTATTGAGTCTGTGCTCAATAATATCTACAAACCCCATCTTCCTATTCTTCTTTACCGATTCGTAAAATTCAACAGTTTAATATCCTCTACACCTACATCTCTCGTTGTAAGAAAGATATGTGTTAATCATTACACTAGGCGGGCGGATTAACAATCGTAATATAGTTCTTGCAAGTCACGAAGTCGAGCGAGCTTTATTTGTGGTAAACACGTATCCGTATACGTGTCAAAGTGTGCGTGAGGACAAAAGCGGGTTTGGTTGGCGATGGCATGCTTACTCCGTCAGACACGCATAATAGCGCAATGTGCATGTAAACGTTCAACGACGATTAATGTCCGTTTGACTTCGTGAATTGCTTGAACTATACCACTTGGAACTTTGACACGGTTTCCTATCGCAGGTCTGGGTATTTTACGTCTAACATAATCGAGTTAGTTATAACCAATGATTTCAAAAGGAAGGATAGGCCCATCTAAATACTTTACTCATAACTTTTTCATACAAGAAAAAGTAGCGCATCTGTCACAATACAAACGTCATATCATAACACGGCGTAACCAGGGTCGGATTTCGTAGTATAATAATTGGTATCCTAATTGTACCATTATTACATAGTTTGTAGTATATAATATCGTAATAATACTAAGCGAAAATACCATAATTTAACCTAAAAGTCGACTTGTATTATTATTGGGTCCTTTTACTTTTTAATATTAACCCTACGATATCAAGATTTTCTGTATTGTAGATGAGTACCGCGTTTTTTTAATAAAATTAGAATTAACTCCCTTTCTGGTCAATCGGTGCTCGATCGATGCATTTATGTTGCATCCTTGAGACAACTATAATGAGGGGCTACCACGATAAAAACTCTATGCTCCAGAAGCAATCAAGTTTGAAAACAAAATTTCAAAATATTTTATGAATCAGATTTTCAGATTCAATTAAGCAGATATGGTTTCTTTTGTACTCTTTTCGTTTTACCCTTATTGAATATAAAATATAAGTATTAGGTACCAATATTCATAATTTAGCTTACACTAAGACAAAAATGAAACAGAAATAAAAATAAAACCATCAAAAAACGAAACGTATAGATAAACTAGACGCGTGACGCCAAAATCCCGGCACATGGGAAAAAAGAAACATGAAACGTCAAACATGATATAATATTTTAAAAATAGTATAATTTTATTTTGTATGTACAATATTTTTGAGGGTCTGAATCCAACCCTGGCCTAATCTTGGTAACGTTACTTGGTAATCTAGCTGTAAAATAAATCTTTAAAAATGCGTTTATATAAAAATTTAATTGTAACAAAATTAATATAAAGTTATTAACCGATGATACGATATCCCATGTTCCTTTTTTACAAAGATTTTGTATCGTAATTTTTGCATCCTTTTACCACGCAACTAGACATATTTATGACAGGCAAATCTGTCCTGCGCGCGCACCACTGTCGACCGATTCGCGTTGGCCCTAAACTATTATTTTAGGGCCAGCGCACTGGTCCGTTTTAGTTGTTCAGTCGGCCCGGTCCCTACGCTAGTAATATATAAGTCAATGGTTATAACACCATCTATCTGGAACTTTAGGATTTTTCTGGCATTTCCCATATACCACTTAAACTCTTCCTTCAATTTCTATAACCATAAAACCAAATCCCTCTTTGAATTGCAGAAAACGTGCAAAAATCGAAATATGTGATACCCATCTGCCTGCCACAAGGCGACCTATCTCGGGAGCAATTCGACGGCGCGATGGCCACGGTGGTGGGCTGGGGCACCACGCGCTACGGTGGCGGTGAGAGCTCCCGCCAGCTGGAGGCGCGCCTGCCGGTCTGGAGGAACGAGGACTGTGACCGCGCATACTTCCAGCCCATAACTGACACCTTCCTGTGCGCAGGGTACGCCAGAGGTGGAGTGGATGCTTGTCAGGTGAGATTCCTTTCTTTCAACAGTGGCTACTGCAGCCCATGGACAACTTACAAAGTTCACGATACCATCCTCACCATTTAGATGCTTGGCGGTTCACCACTGTGCGTTTTACTAGGAGTTTTCTTCCGCGTACAACTTTACTGTGGAATTCTTTACTACCGGCGATTTTTCCGGACCGATACGACTCAGGGACCTTCAAAGCAGAGATTATTTCTTTCTAAAAGGCCGGCAACGCACCTGCTATTCTCCTGGTGTTACGGTTGTTCATGGGCGACGGTAGTCGCTTACGATCAGGTGAGCCGCATGCTCGTTTGCCCACTCTTCTATAAAAAAACATAATCAAACAAAAAGGAATACAGACGTGTTGTCACTTTTGTGGACTAAGATGAGGCCTCATAGCCTTTAGTTATCCTGGCTCTCTAAGCACTGCTATTTTGATAACGGGGTGGTAAGTATCCAGACGGCCTCCTAGGCAAAAAATGAGTTAACACCTTTGAGTGTGAGCGTGTGTGTATGTGTGTGTGTTTCCTATATTCCCTAACACCTCATTTAGCTACCTATATTAAAAGTGTGTCATTAACTGTTGAGAGGTAGGTAAGATAAGAATATGAGTTATGAATATGATGTGATATGCCAAAAATATCTTTTCGTCTCCGATAGACGGCGGTATACTTACTTACGCAAATCGGTCAAAGGAAGCTGCGTTAAAGGTGCGGGTTATCTGATAAGCGTAACTTGACGGTAACTTGTCCATACAAAGGCCCTATTTCCTGCAGTAGACTTTGCAGGCAGAAGAACAATAGATGCAATATACTTATGTCCACGTGTGGGCATAAAAAAGGTAATGATTCTTTGTTAAAAAGAAGTCTCGCTGGGTTTCTTGCTGATTCTTCCCAGCAGTATTATTTAGTATCAGTATCAGACAGTATTATTTGGTATCAGTATCAGGCAGTATTATTTGGTATCAGTATCAGGCAGTATTATTTGGTATCAGTATCAGGCAGTATTATTTGGTATCAGTATCAGGCAGTATTATTTAGTATCAGTATCAGGCAGGTACTATTATTTGGTATCAGTATCAGGCAGTATTATTTGTTATCTATCTTCTTCATAAATATAAATATCATTTTTTTATTTCTGCCCGTCAGTCTCGCTAAACTCTAAAACAGCTCGAACGACTCGGATGAATTTTTGTGTGTATCTAAGTGGCTCCCTGGATGCTTTGATAACTCAATTGGACCCGGTGGGTGGCGCTGCTGTCGGGATCCAGTAATCACCCGTGCGAAGTCGGGTTGCCTCGCTAGTACAGAATAAACGTTTCTATTTCTACTAACAATTCCTTCACTTTCAGATCTACGTTAGTAGTTTCTGGCTTTTAATTATCATTATCATTACAGTACTTCACAAGTTCACTGCTGAACATAGGCCTCTCTCAAGAATATTCACAATGCGCGGTCTTAAGACACCTGGAGCCGTGGTAGCTCAGATGGTTAACGCTCGCTGTAAATTTCACAATACGCGAGCAAACCGGGTTCGATCCCCGCCGGCACCAATGAAATTGTTAATTGCAATTTTAAGTGCTGATTTACCACGTGCTCGGCGGTGAAGGAAAACATCGGATGAAACCTACATGTCCGAGAAATAAGAAAAGAAATATTTCGAAGACATGTGAAGTTCGCCAACACATATTGGGGCAGCACGGCGGACTATTACTTGCCCTGGAACGCTCTCAGAAATAAGAGGAGGCCTGTGCCCAGGAGTGGGACGTATAACGGCTTTTATATTTTTTTATAGAATAAGGGGGACAAACGACCACACAGTCCACCTGATGGTAAGTGGATGCTGGGACCCATAGTGAAAAGGAACTCAGGTTGGACGTCCTCTCAATCCTGAAAAGGACCAATTGAAAAGGACCTAGCGGATCGGGTACTAAGAAACAGGAATCGAGGCTTCTCTCGATCCGGCCTCCTATCACGCCTACGTTGGGTTCGGGAACAACGTATGTGATCTCCGCAACGGAGTAACACACAAGGGCGATAACCTCTTCCTTTTCAGCAAGTAGGTTCAGACGGGGATTACGGGTCTTCCGAAGTCGTCCCGGTCCCGACGCCTTAATTCTTCGATGTGGACTGTATAACTTAAAGGATCTTGGGAATGAAACAGCAATTATCTTCAAACCGTTCCGTGAGAGAGTAATCACTTTTCCCTATACTGCTGGTTTTTCACTTTTCTTGAACTTTTTCTCGGATTTTCTTATTTATTTCCGAACTATTTCCGAACTTCTTCCCAGAAGGATTCCCGAACGATTCCCGAACGATTCCCGAATATTTCCCGAACCATTCCCGAACATTTCCGAACGATTCCCGAACGAATTGCAATAAAACCCGTTCACTAAGCTACCCCAGAGCTATACGCGAAAGTGAGCCGCGCCATTCGCGCGCTTGCGCAACTCAATTACATGAATTTGTTCTATTACTCTCTCACGTTTTACTCAATATCTTTATTTATTCAAATCATATACAAATACAATTTATCAATATAGGTAGTACAAAACAATATCTACACCATGATATACATCATATCTTCATATCATAAAAAACCTTTTATTTATTAAACGAAAACTGCCTATTTTACTCACAAGTTCGAAATCGAAATTTCTTAAATATTTAACACAGAAAGTTAAAACAATGTTTCTCACTTGAATTTATACATAAGCTAACCAATACAATAGTTTAATTTACATTTTTTCTATTTATTTCACTATTTAAAACACTTTTAAATTTCTTATACAAAACTATCATTATTTCACTTATACACAGGAATTTTCACATGAAAATAACACAGAATTTACCTTTTTAGCACGTACAATTAACCTGAAATATTTTACAAGTAATTTTTACATAAATCACTGAATTACAAACATTTTAAATTTTTACATATTCGGCCTCCTAAGGGCGTGGCTTAGCGTGCGTCTATGAACTCACACTATTTGAAGAACTAACTTTTGCACGGCTCTCGGCTATCAGAAAAAATGAAATTCTGAAATTCACCAATTTTATCAATATTTGGCAAATTAAATGCTTTTATACAATTTTCGAACTGTATGAAACTATCTTTAATCAGATAACAATATAAATGAATGTTCTCATTAATCAATCATAACAAATAGGCATTTGTTTTCGTACAAAACGTATCAAACCTATACAAAACAATATTTATGCAATTAATATCCATTAATTCTGCCTATGCACAGAGTGATTATCTCGACCGGGGAACAAATCCGGTAACATAATTTATATCTTAAATTCCTTACGAATTTATTAAGCGATATTACTTAGGAAAACAAACAAACTAGTCCGGCCTGGGAGTCGAACCCAAGACCTTCATATCATTAATTCGACGTTTCTTAAAGATTTAACTAAGCATTCTCTTATCAGAGCGTCGTTGCTCGTGACTGCCCCTTTTTTCATAGCAACGTCATCGGTTGATTTAATAAACTGAAACATTTTTATAGGCGCGTCGCCAACAATCTCCCCCCGTGCGTTAGCACCATCATTTGGGAGGCGTCGCGGGTACCAGGACTATTATTCTGGATGTAGGTCTCCTCAAGATACCTGTGCTAGTAATGACGTCAACCACTCTGGTGTGACCGTCTGGTCCCGGTAACGTTCTACTAATTTTACCTTTTGGCCACGTATTTCGTGGCAACGAATGATCTATTATCAAAACAATATCGCCTTCTTTAGGTTCCATGAACTTGCCGTTATCACCTGTTCGAGGTATTAACGTAGGCATGTATTCTTTCAGCCATCTTGTCCAAAAATGGTCGGCTAACCTCTGTGCAGCTTTCCAATTGAGTTGACCCGTCAGATGTCGCTCTAAAAATAATCCAGGTGGTCGATCACCACATGAGCGTCCCAGAAGAAAATGATTGGGTGTCAAACCCTCTTCAGGACTATCCATACTGAATGTTACCAGAGGTCTGGAATTTACCGTATGCTCTGCTTCTAAAAGTAACGTATGTAGAACCTCCTCTCGTGGGCTCTTCTCCTTAAGCGTAGCGGTCAACGCAATTTTAATCGATCTTACTAACCTCTCCCAGGCGCCACCCATGTGCGGTGCTCCCGGAGGTATAAATTTCCATTTAATATATTTCTTAAATGACTCGTTTTTCATGCCCTCATAGCATTCTTCGCATGCTTTCAATAATTCTTTATTTGCAGCTTTGAAATTTGTCCCGTTATCGCTGTATATAACGGCTGGTTTTCCTCTTCTGGCGATAAATCGCCTTAACGCCATTATCATTGACGCTGGTGTCAATGAGGCTGCTAATTCCAGATGTACTGCTCTGGTGGTCAGACACGTGAATAAAACGCCCCAACGTTTTTCGTGTCGCCTTCCTATAGTCACACTCATAGGACCAAAATAATCTACAGCTGAGCATGTAAAAGGTGGCTCATGATGAGCTATTCTTTCCAGAGGAATATTTCCTTGTGGCACGTTTTGCGGCTTTGACCTGTATGTCCTGCACCACTGACAATGGTGTGACACACTTCGTACTACATTACGCAAGTTCAAGACGTAAAATTTCTGGTTCACCTCATTCATCACCGTCTGGTGATTGGCGTGTCCAAAATGATGATGAACTTCTCTAATCATCATTTTAACGATTTCGTGTTTACCGTCTAATATGACAGGTTTTCTACTTTCCTCGGTCAAATTAGACTTGAAAGGTAAACGTCCATTTAAACGGAGTAAGTTATCCTCTCCTATTTCCATAGATAATTTACTTAAACGTGAACTTCTTTCAACGCTTTTGCCTGCTTTCAAACATTTTATTTCCGAATGAAAACACTCGTCTTGAATGAATTTCCAAATTAATATTTCCGCCTTTTTCAAGAGCGCTGTGTCCAACGCGCTATCGGGTCCTTTAACCGACTTTGCTAAAACTTTGTTGGAACACATAACCGACTTTTCGGTTGCGTCGTCGGGTCCTTTAA